GAGGCCGCGCGGCGACGCTAGAAGCAGCAGGGACAGCACCAGAACCCTCAGCAGGAGCACCCGCTCCAGCAGCACCACCAGTAGCTCCAGAACCTCCAGCAGCACCAGGAGCACCCCCAGTAGGACTGCCAGCGGTAGTCTCAGCGCCAGCACCCTCAGCAGCACCAGCTCCAGTGCACCCAGGACGAGCACCTCTGGGACCCGCGACCGCAGCACCCTCAGCAGTCGGAGGACCTCCAGCACCAGCAGCACGCCTCCAGCGCCGGGCAAACCACTCACGCAGCTCCTGTGGAGAAAGTGGCTCCCGGCGAGACGAAGCACTCGGAGAACCTCCAGGCGGAGCACCTCCAGGCTCAGCACCCCCAGGCGTAGCACCCCTAGGCTCAGCACCCCCAGACGTAGCACCCCTAGGCTCAGCACCCCCAGGCTCAGCACCCCTAGGCTCAGCACCCCCAGGCTCAGCACCCCCAGGCTCAGCACCCCTAGGCTCAGCACCCCCAGGCTCAGCACCCCTAGGCTCAGCACCCCCAGACGTAGCACCCCCAGGCCCAGCACCCCTAGGCTCCGCACCCCCAGGTACAGCACCCCCAGCCTCAGCACCCTCAGCAGCACCAGAGTCACCAGTGACCTCGACAGGCTCGACTGCGTCTACCTGGGACACACCTGAAGGGGCAGGACCCTGAGGGGGGAGGGGGTCTACCTGGGGGGGACCTGGTACCAGGAAGAGTGGGGGTGGGGGGAGGGACGGAGTGCGGTAGGGGAAGAGGCGGTAGTAGGGGACCGACTCGTCAAACGTGACGTCCTGGGAGGACAGAACACGGCGAGAGGTGGGGTGGTAAAACTGCCACCCAGGCGCGTCAGGGGGGAACCCCAGGAAGACGCAAGGAGCAGCACGAGGGGATAGTTTGTCCGCAGACAGGTCGCGGACAAACGCCCGAGATCCCCAGACTCGGAACGCCGACGCATCGCCAACCTTCCCCGTCCACAGCAAGGCTGGGGAGGTCTCCGGCCTGGAGACCCTGGGGTGGAGGTTGATCTGATGCGCCGCGTACCTCACCGCAAACGGCCACAGAAAATGGGGGGCAGCCGCATGCATCATAGACGTACGAGCGACGTCCATGACCATGCCAATGCGGCGCTCAGCAATCCCATTTTGCTGCGGTGAGTCCGGAAGCGTGAAGGTCTGACGGATGCCCCGTGCACGACAGTAGGCACGCAGAAGGCCAGAGGAGAACTCTCCGCCTCTGTCCGAGTGCAGACGCAGAACAGGAAAGTCCGAGCCGAAGCTCTGCCTGAGCTGGAGACGAGCTGCGCGGATCCAGTCGATCAGCACCTCAGTGACATCACCCTTGCTGCGCAAGGGGAAGACTGTGGTGTAACGCGAGTAGTCGTCAACAACGAGCAGGATGTAGCGCTCGTGACCCTGTCCACGGACGCGGGCTGGGCCCCACACGTCCATGTGAAGTGTCTGCAACGGGGCCTCTGTCGGAGGAAACTGGGAGGAGTGAGGGGCAGCACGCAGGCGCCCCTCGACACAGGGGACACAGGCAGGGCCAGGGCCCTGAGGAAGGGGAGGGAGGGACCGGGGGAGACCGGACACAAGAAGACGGGAGGCCATACCTCTGAGCCGAAGCAGAGAGGGGTGGCCAAGGCGGTGGTGCCAGAGGAGAGTCTCGTGAGACAGGAGACGACACGAACAGGGGGCAGACTCAGGACCAGACCTGGACGCCGCAGCAAACACCTGACCCGACGTAACTACCCTACCAGACTCAGCAACTGGAGGAGACGCAGTGGTCAGAGTGTACAGGCTCGACCCCGGCTGACGGGTGAACGTAGCCAGGTGTCGGCCTGTGCCAGCCTCTGTACAGTGGGTCACTCTCTGACGTGCAGGAGTGAACTGGTGGACCCCCGCATCCTGTAGGTCAGCACCACTCACCAGGTTCGTAGAGAACGAGGGGAGGTAGAGACCAGACAGGGTGCCAGAGAGAGCCGCCGGACACGGGAGGACTGTGGAGAAGCGAGACAGGACAGGACCCCCAGAGGGGTCAGCCAGAGACACTGCAACCGGTCGACTCAGCGGTGTGAGTGTGGTGCGGTCCCGAAAGAAGGAGCGAGACGCCCCAGAGTCAAGGGTGAAGGTGAGGGAGGCCGAAGCCGACGCAGTACCTGAGAGCGCAGACTCACCAGTACCTGAGGACGCAGACACACGAGCACCTAGAGCAGCAGCGTCGCAAGCACCTAGGGCAGCAGCCTCACCAGGACCTAGAGCAGCAGTCTCAATGCCCGGATCGGGCGGGAAACACCGGTAACAGTCACCCTCATCACTAATAGACACAGCATACATGGCAGAGAGAATAGCATCAAAGTCAAGATCATAGATGGCAACACCCGCCCTAGACAGCTCGCCCCAGCGAGGGATCTCGGAGGCCTCCGGGAACTGGTGACGCCACGCGTCCGTCAGGCGGCCAAAGCAGCGCTGGGTGGGGTGGGCACCCCCACACTGCTCACCCGCACGGTCGCCAGTGCGCAAAACGTAGGAGCACGGACCAAAACCCCCACCCCGCTGACGCGCAGTGTACCACTCACGAAGCTGCTGAGGGGACAGGGTGTCACGACCACGCTGCTGCTGCTGGCGCGAGCCACCACCGGAGCTACTCCTCTGCAAAGACCCGCGACCAGCACCACCGCCACCCCCGCCGCCTCCGACGCCTCCGCCGCCTCCGCTACTGCCGCCGCCTCCGCCTCCGCCGCCGCCTCCACCTCCGCCACCTCCGCCACCTCCGCTCCCACCGCCACCGCCGCCGCCACCTCCACCTCCACTGCCGCCACCGACCCCTCCACCCCCACCTCCACTCCCACCGCCACCCCCACTCCCCCAACTGCCGCCACCTCCACCTCCACCGCCCCCGCTCGCTCCTCCAGCGCCCTTGCCCCCCTTGCCCTTGCCAGAGCGGCGTCTCCCGCTAGGGGCAGACGCCGCACCGACCGACTCAAGAACAAGGAGGTCGGCCGCAGCAGCAGAGGCAACAGAGGGCAGAAGGGGGGAGGGGGAACACCCCTCAAAGATGGGGGTGCGCGGGTCACCACGAGAGGCCCCTACAGCGACGATGCTCTTCTCGGCCGCTAGGAGGGACTTCTCGAGGAGGTCAACAGTGAGAGTGGTGGGACAGACAGAGAGAAAGTGGTCCCTGACTACGCGAAGGGAGTCAGGAAGGCGAGTGACTATGTAGTAAAGAGTGATGTACATGGGGGGGGGGTTCCTGGCGCAGAAGTCAGGAGGGAGTGCAGCGCGGTAGCGAGTGTCACTAGTGCGGAGGTGCGTAATGAGGTCAGTGACTGTGGGAAAGGCAGTAAGATCAGGAAAGAGGTACGGTAGCATGAGACGGCTCAGTGCAGCAGTGGCAGGGGAGGAGTAGCGCGCAACTACAGCGTCGTACAAGGTCTGAGCACTCTTGTACTGACTAAAGTGCGCACGCTCGGAGGTAGGGAGGTGGCGACGCACAGCAAGACGTGCAGCAGCGTCGCGCGTGGCCCACTGGGAGCGAACAGTGGCGTCAGCATCAGCAGCAGGGGCAGTGGAGGTGCCAGAGGTGAGGTCAAAGAGAGAGAGGCCGTCTGCCCTATCGCACTGTAAGAACAGCTGCAGGTCATCTACCCAGACCTCAAAGTCAATGGCCCTACCCTCAGTGTCAAAGGCGAGAACACTAGGGGTAGCCATGACCCTAGACGACTAGCAGCGCAGACAGTGGGGTGAGGACAGTGCAGTGAAAAGGCGCTGTGCTCACCAGACTGGGCAGGTCGGGCGGCCCTGAAGGAGGGCGGCGCGGCGGCTCGGCGGCGCAGCTGCTGGGCGGCCCGGCGGCTCGGCGGCTCAGCTGCTGGGCGGCTCGGCTGCTGGGCTGCTCGGCTGCTGGGCGGCGCGGCCGCTGGGCGGCTCGGCTGCTGGGCGGCTCGGCTGCTCGGCGGCTCGGCGGCTCGGCTGCTGGGCGGCTCGGCTGCTGGGCGGCTCGGCGGCTCGGCTGCTGGGCGGCTCGGCTGTGCTGCTGCAGGGCACGGGGCCGCAGGTAAGGGCGGCGGGGCCGCTGGTAAGGGCGGCGTGGTCGCGGGTAGGGTGGCGGGGCCGCAGATAGGGTGGCGGGGCCGCAGCAGAGGGCGGCGGGGCCGCAGGTAAGGTGGCGGGGCCGCAGGTAAGGTGGCGGGGCCGCAGGTAAGGTGGCGGGGCCGCAGCAGAGGGCGGCGGGGCCGCAGGTAAGGGCGGGGCCGCAGGTAAGGTGGCGGGGCCACGAGGAAGGGCGGCGGGACCGCTAGGTAGGGCGGCGGGGCCGCGCGATGGGGCGGCGGGGCCGCGCGATGGGGCGGCGGGGCCGCGCGATGGGGTGGCGGGGCCGCGAGGAAGGGCGGCGGGGCCGCGCGATGGGGCGGCGGGGCCGCGCGATGGGGCGGCGGGGCCGCGCGATGGGGCGGCGGGGCCGCGCGATGGGGCGGCGGGGCCGCGATGGGGCGGCGGGGCCGCGATGGGGCGGCGGGGCCGCTAGGTAGGGCGACGGGGCCGCGCAATGGGGCGGCGAGGCCGCGAGGTAGGGCGGCGGGGCCGCTAGGTAGGGCGGCGGAGCCGCTAGGAGAGAGGCGGCGGGGCCGCGAAGACGGGCGGCGGGGCCGCGGAGACGGGTGGCGGGGCCGCAGTGCAGGGCCGCTAGGGCGGCTCGACGAAGTGAGGGCCCGAAGCGCGACTCGGGCTGAGCGCGCTTCGGGCAGGAAAAAAAAAATCGATGTGGTGGGCCCTAAGTACAGTTCCCAAGGGGGAACCTGCTCGATACCATGAGAAGATTTGAACAAGAATGAGTGAACTATGAAATGAAGTGAGTACAAATATGAAACCCTAATTGGTTGTACCCCCTATGGGATACCCCACTATAGCCTACACAACAGCATAAGCTATAATGTTCTGACAGGACCACGCCGCGGTCCGTACCTGCCAGGAGCAGCTCCCGCAGCTCCTGATGTATCTCTCCCTCCGTCCGCGCGACGTCTACAATTTCGACGAGACGGCTCTGTTTCTTTCGGTCTTGCCGCGCAAGACGTACGGCGGGTCGCGCGTGCCGGGGCGTAAGCTGGCGAAGGAGCGCCTCACGGTCGGGTTGCTCGTTAACGCGGACGGCAGTCACGCGTTCCGGCCTTTGATCATCTCCAAGTCCAAGCGCCCTCGCGACTTTCTTCCCGACTACGACCCAGAGGAATTGTGCTACTGGCGTCACAACAAGAAGGGCTGGATGAATGCGGCGGTAAGCAAACAAGGATACGATCACCTACCGGACTGGTTGATGCGTTTGTTCTATGCTTGCGGTGAGCTCGTCCCTTGTGAACCATGTTACAACTTGTCATCGATGCTCACAACTGTTTCCGGTGTCTTTCCCATCATGCGCAGTTGTTCACTCACTTCATCGGCCAACTCAACGCCGCCATGGTCGCCGAGGACCGCCAGATCGCCATCCTCTTGGACAACGCAAGCAGCCACGTGCTGAAGGACGACGATGCCACGTCGGAAGACCTTTTCGGCTTCCGCACTCGCATCATGGGCAACATCCGGCTTGTCTTCCTGCCGCCCAACACTACCGTCTTCACGCAGCCGCTCGATCAGGGTCTGATCGCCACGACGAAGGCACGCTACCGTCAGCACTGGCTTCGCGCGATCACGGCCCTGTGGCAGGATGCCGGCGCCTTTCCCGTGATGGCGCGTTACCGCCCCAACATGCGCGATGTCATCGCATGGCTCTCGGAGTCATGGATGAACATCCCCGTGCGTACGATTCAGAGGTGCTGGTGGCGCACGGGGTGCACGCCACGCTCGTGGGCCATGGACCTGGCGCATGTTGGCCTGGACGGTCTCGCCGCGGTCGGCAACGGCGTCAATGCCGCTCTCCCCATTGACCTCGACGAGGACATCGGGGATGTCGGCATCATGATCGCCCGTCTTGGCCTCGGGTCTAGCGCCATGCCGGCCGCCGCCTTCGTCGCCATCGACGACGACCAGCCCACGTGCGCCGAGCCGGGCGAGGACCCGCTCGCCCTTGAGCCGCCGACGGGGTATTCGGGCGCGTCATGGGAGGCTCCATCCAACATGCAGGCCGTCTACGACGACGACAACCCAGAGAGCCGCGAGGCGCGGCGTTACGCACGTGCGGCGAGCGAGATGCTCATCGGTTACGCACGTGCCACCGGCATCACGCCGCGCAACCTTTGCGCGCTGTTCGAGATTAAGAACCCGGTCATCGTCGACCGCATGGAGCGGGCTAGCCCCCCAATGAACCTGAACACTGCGCCGATGCCCGATCCCCTGCATGCCGCGTCCCCCGCGTCCACTCCCACGCAGGCTCCTGCCGCGACCGAAGACGCGGCCACCCCTCGCCGCCGCGGGCGCGTTCTGCCTGCGTGGATGTATGCACCTGCTCCCACCCGCCAGCAGCTTATTGACTCTGGCGTGAGTGCCGTCATGAACGGCTATGTGGATGCGGCTGAGTGGATGACCCTGTGAAGGGTGAAGCGAATTTTCGCTTCGAGGAGTTGGAATCTCCTCTGTGCACATTTGTGCACATCTTGTGCACAAATGTGAACTGTGTCTAGCCCCGTTACACACTTCATTTGCGCAGATGTGAGTCTGGTATTGGCCGAACTGTGGCGGTTGCATGTTCGTGCCTGTTTGTGTGTGATTCTGTAATCGGGAGCTACGAAAATGGGAAAATGTGGTGGTAACGCTGGCAAAACACAACAAACAACCACAGCCACCCAGCAATGATTTTCTTTAACTTACCCGAGAAGTTACACGTTCTAGTTAAACGCCCACCATGCCCGTGGCGACATGCACGAAATCACGCGAATTGTCAGAAACACTTACAGACCCTCATGGTAAGGCAAGTATGGGGGACTCAAACGCGCAACAGGTGTAAGTGTGCGTGATCAACTCAAAACCCTCTTTGTTGGCCACCCATGCAGCAAAAGCTCCCATGTCATACGTGTCTGTGGCCCACATGGGCCATGCTCCAGATACCAGTAAGCCAGCAACGAATCAGCGATGAGATATCCACGTCAAGAACCTATCCAGGCATCGGTTCTGCTGTCTCAAACTGGCAATATCCAACAAAAGCCATCCCTGATTCGCTGGGTGATGCACATGCGAAGTGCATGAGCAAAAACGAAGCTGGATGCTCCACAAGACATTTGGCGAAGGTCGGCTACCTGTACAGAGAGCAGCTTGGATGACCCCTCATTTAGACCAGCTCGACTGATCCGAGGGCTGATGATAGGCGGTCTTGAGCAACTTACTGGACTGACGTGGCATGAGATCTCATTCTTTATTGCGCGCTGAGCGTTGGGTACAGTCAGCGCTGAGTGTGCCTCCAGATCACACCACCCTCCAGATCACACCAACCCTAAACCATGTCTTCACTCCCGGACCTTCGCTCCGAGGCTAGTTCAGCGCAACCGAGAGGTCATTGTTCCGTGCCAAAAGGCCAGGTCAGTACGGCAAGATGAATAATCGATTATCGACGAGCCGATGAGGTTGTGGTGCGGTGCTTCGGAATCACCATGGCTGTTTTGTGTGCTAGCAGCATGGCAGCTGTGACGATCATGAATTCATGCTCCATTCAAGCGCAACACGTACACCCCAACCAACCCAAGTCAACACGCCAGAGGACGCAGACAAGCTCGTATGAGGAGGGGAGGGGGAGCGAGGGCAGGAGAGGAGAGACTGGAGGAAAGCCTTCCCTCGGGAATCTCCAAGCTCTTCCTCTTCGATGCTTGCCTGCCTTGCCTCCCTGCAGCTGCCAGAAAGCAAGTCCGCTTGCATGGGTCAGCCAGCCTCCACAGAACTTTCTAGTGTGCTGCCTGACGTGCCTTCTCGGGCTTGAGTCACGCTTCACCACGCCCCAGTCAGATTAGACTGCTCGCTGTGCCTCCTCGGGATTGGTCGAGGCAAAGGTGCGTCAAGCACACTGGCAGCCCTGCGCGGACCACCAAGCCGAGGCGCGCTTTAACCACCACCAATTCGACCATGGGACAGGCTCAGGCGGAGGGAGCGAAGTGGTGGTGCTGCTCGGCGGGTGATGCTGCTTTTCCCGTCACCCCTTTTCGCACTGCAGAAGCTGCAGAAGCTGAAGCTGTATTTTGTCATCGTCTACTGGCCAAGGGTGCCTATCGCTGCTGCGTTGGAGAGCTAAGAGCGCTGACAGTGCTTGCAATTGACGGATTTTCACGACAGGACGCGTCGTCGCTGCGAAGAGTATACATACTAAAAAGTGGACCGCGTTTTCAGAGGCAGGCTTCCAAATGCATGGTAGCCTCCTCCGTCTCAAATTTCCCTACCTGAGTTAGGCTACAGCTCGTAGACTTGCCTGATATCGTTCAGCGTTCTGCGCGCCGGTCGGCTTCAGTACCCAATCGACAGATTCCGCGACTTTGACGAGCCAGCAACAGGTGACTAAGACGTAAGGCCTGCCTTGAATTGGATCCCTTGGCAGAGCCTTCAGTAGTAACTGTTCTGAGGCGCCGTTGATAAGGTCGGAGCCAGGATCCGGTGCAGGAAATTCATTCAGCTATACAATCCCAGTAGCCAATCCTCGCAAGCAGCTGCTATCCTGGTGGCTGTTATGATCGTGAACGGCTCGCTCGTCGCGACTAGATGCTCGCCGTCTTGGATTCCTAAGCTCATACTTCTCGCTTCCAGAAAGTTATCTTCGCTGGCAAGCGCTTTTCAACTGGAGCGCGTTCCATAAGCCAGCAGCGCGGGTTGCGGGAGATGGAGGGAGGAAGAGGAGGCCGCGAGACCGGTGCCGTGGAGACGGAAGAGGTCTTGAAACGAATGTCAGTAGAGGCGTTGGCGCTGAGACAGCACGAGGCCGACGAGCGCACGTCTGGCGCTGGTTCCTGCGTACCGATTTTGCCCACTGCTGAAGCCGATGCGAAGGTGTCATGCTTGAAACGCGAAGTGCAACAAAAACTCCTCCAGCAGCAGTCGCAGCAGCAGCAACAGCAGCAGCAGGCGCGATTACCATCTTCTGGAGAGCCAGTTGTTTCAAAAGAGAAGGTTACTCTCGTAACTCTTGCTCCAAGCGAGAAAAGGGAAGGCGGAAAAGGGCTTGTCCGTAACGGCGTATCATGGATTGCTGACAACGCAGCTGCTGTTACGGCGCCCTCTGTTCTTCCTCACAGGCTCGTCCGGGCGGCAGTCGTCGTCAGCCTAAGCAGCTCCGCGTGTAGTGGCGACAGTGGCGGCGAGGCAAGCAGTGGAGAGATTGAGTCCGTTGCTATGGGTGATAAGGGTGTCGCAGCTGCGTGCGATGGTGTGGTTCCTGCGACAGTATCCCAAGTCAAGGGTCTTCAACAGGCGCCGACGGCTGCTTACACGGTGTCTCGGGCTGATACACTTTCTAAGACTGCTGCTGATGCGGCTGCCGCTGCTGCTGCTGCTGCTGACATCGGGGCCATGGCAATCGACAGCATGGGTTCTGGTTCGGTGATAGCAGGGAGCCTTCACAGGCAGTCTGATCCAGGGGTTGATGGAGAAGCAGCGTTTCCCGCAGCACAACGCAAGGAGCCGGCGGGGCCAGAAGCACAAGTGAGCGCAGTTCGATGTGGGAGCGCCCAGCAGGCAGGTGAAGCCCCGGCAGCAGGTGGTGCTGGAGAGCAGCAGCGTACAGCTCGACTTCTTCCCCCTGGCGAGCTCCCTACAGTGACAGCGGCTGTGGCAGTGGGAGAATTGGGGGCAGCGAGGTGCAGGGTACTGGAGCGTGGTGATGCTATTGCCACTGATGGCGCTGCTGGCGCTGCTGCTGCTGCTGCTGCTGCTGCTGGCACTGGTGGCACTGATGGTGTTGTCGATATGCAAGGGGGTGAATCCGGCTGTGCTGCGGCTGTGGCGAAGCCATCGCACGAAGGCCTGATGTGTGCTGTGACGCCGCCGGATCTTGATGGCACCATGGCAGTGGCAGGATTGCCGAATCCAGTGGCGCCCACAACATCGCCAGATGCTTCCGCTGCGGATAACACTGCTGCTGCTGTTCCTTCTGCAGCTGCTAATGTTGAAGTTGATGTTGGTGCTGCTATTGGCGAGGCCAGAAGTGCGTCGTTCCCCTGTCCTCCTCCTGCTGTTGCTAACACCTCACCAACAGATCCCGCTGCTGCGATGCCTGTCGTCTCCGGTCCTGCCGCTATCGATTCCACCAAGCCCACTGCCAGTGCGGCCAACACCGTCAAAAACCGCAATCCTAACACCAACAGTGCCGCCGCCAACATCGCCGGTGCTACCAACACCACTGGTACAGCCGGTACTGTCGCCAACACCACCGGCAATCCCACAGCGGGCTCGCAGCTGCTCCCATTCAACACGGAGCGAGTGGAGAGCGTGTACGCGCTGGCGAGCGAGGAGCTAGGCCGGGGCGAGTTCGGCGTGGTGCGCACGTGCATGCACCGCACCACCGGGCAGCTCTTCGCGTGCAAATCCCTGGACAAAGCCCGGCTGCGGGAGAGCTCACGCGTGGAGGACCTAGAGATGGAGCTGTACTGCATGGGCATCATGCCGCGCCATGGGAACGTCGTGCAGCTCGCGAGCGTGCACGAGGACGAGAGGGCCGTGCATCTTGTGATGGAGCTCTGCGATGGGGGGGATCTGTTTGAGCTGATAGCCAAGGCGGGGCGGCTGCCGGAGGTGTTTGCTGCGTGGATGTTCCGCCAGGCTGTTGAGGCCGTAGCGTTTTGTCATGAGTACAACATCGCGCATCTGGATATCAAGCCGGAGAATCTGCTCATTCGGACCAAGAGGAACCTGCCTGGGGGGGCGTCGGCGGGGGCGTCGGCGGCGGCGTCGGTGGCTCTTGCGGCCATGGGTGTGGCCCAGCAGCAGCAGCTGCAGCAGCAGGAGATACCAATTGTGGCCCCTCACAGCTCCACACAATCACCAGCAGTGGCAGCCGCTGCACCTGCAGCAGCAGCTGCTGCAGTGCCTCCCTCAGTTCCCGTCAACCGTCTCTCCACCCCCTCCACGCCAGCCACTCCCTTGGCGACTGGTATCGCTGCCACCCTCACTGCCACTGCTGCTGTCACACTCCCTGCTGGCACTGACAGCAGGGCTGCAGCCGATGGGGATAGTGCTTCTGCACCTTCTGCTGAAGCTCCTTCCACTGGTCTCGTTCCTCCTCCTCCTCCTCCTCCCCCTCCTCCTCTTGCTGCTGTTGCTGAAGGCCCTGTTGCTGATGACGGTACGACAAGTTCTCCATCAAGTGACCAAGGCCTGCAAGCCTCTTCTGCTCCCATGCATGCTGCCGCTGCTGCTCCTCCCCCTTCTGCTGCTGATGCTCCTGGCGGTGCTGCTGCCTCTGAGTCTGCAACGCTTGCTGCTGCCGATTACAGCAGCTGCAAGCATGCACCACCGCTCCTCACCCCGGCTTCCACTACTGTGCCTCAATGCACGGGTGCTGCAGGCACAGACTCTGCCACAGCCGCACGCACCACCACTGCTGCTCCCACCACTTCTGGCATGGAGGGCATTCGTGTGAGCAGCACTGCCACCATCGGCACTGGCTTCACTAGTGGCGCTGGTGCTGCTGCTGCTGGTGTATCCATGGGTTTGGGAACCAGCATCGGCAGGGTCGGTAGCGCTGCCGCTGCCGCTGCTGCCGCCGCTGCTGCTGCTGTTCCTGGTAGCAGTGGAGGAGGAGGAGAAGGAGGAGGGTGTGGAAGCGCAGCGCCGGCGTGTCTGGCGGGGATAGAAGTGAAGCTGGCGGATTTCGGGCAGGCGGTGGTGCTGTCGCCTGGGAGCACAGCGCATGGGCTGGCAGGGTCATCGTTCTACATGGCGCCAGAGGTCGTCAAGGGGCGCCAGTACGGGCTCTCTGCTGATGTGTGGAGCCTCGGTGTGCTGCTCTATGTCATGCTTGCAGGTGAGATGGGGCGTGCCTGGTGCTGTTGGTGAGGTAAAGCGTGGTGGTGGTGCTTGTGCTGGTGCAGCTGTTGGGGGATTGGTGGGGTGGGGTCTGGGGTTCGGCGGGCTTGTCGCCAAGCTTCTAAATGTCTGTTTCCAGCATCACAACATGTTAAGGCCGAAGCATTCCTATCCCAGCCCTCAACGTCCTTCACCATCCCTTTCTCCTGTGCCTCCCTTTCCTCCGCATATGCACCCCCCACCCCCCACCCGTCCAACCACACCAGGCTACCTGCCATTCTACGGGGAATCCCTCCGTCACATCTTCCTCACCATCTGCTCGTCCGACCCCGACTTCTCCTCGCCGCCCTGGCCCTCGCTCTCCCTAGCCTGCAAGCACCTGCTGCGCTCCATGCTCCACCGCGACCCCCTCCGCCGCCCCTCCGCCCGCCAGCTCCTCTCTCACCCCTGGTTCTCCTGCGCGCTCCTCCCCCTCTCGCCCCCCTCCGTGCCTCGCTGCCTCTCCCCGTTCTCCTCGCCATCTTCCTATTCCCGCCTCTCCCCTCACTCCTCTCGCCCCTCGCTTGCCCCCCTCTCGCCCCTCTCACCCCTCTCGCGCTATTCAATCTCCACCAATCCGCTGGCTACCAAACCACTCACCAGCAAGCACTTGAATGGACAGCCATCCTCCTCACCGCTGCTCATGTCCCTTTTTCCGGGAGTAACTCCCCCGTCTCCTTCCTCCTGCCTCTCGCCCTTCACCTCCTCGCCCTTCACCTCCTCGCCCTTCTCGACGTCCCCATATTCCTCCTCCCACTTCCCCTCACCACCGTTCTCCTCCTCCTCATCCTCCTCCCATTATTCCTCCCGTCTGTCCTCCTCCTTCCCTCACCTCTTTCCAACTCTCCAATCCTTAGGTCCTACGTCCTCCCCTTCCGCATACCCTTTATCTTCCTCCCCCGCACCTCCATCCATGTCCCACGCTTTCCTCCCCAACCCCAACACCCCTCTCGCGCCCTACCACTCATCTCGCTTCCACCCGAGCTTCCCGCTTTCCACGGGGGCAGCAGCTGCGGCCGCAGCGGCCACTGCTGCTGCTGCTGTGGCGGCGGGGGCGTCACATGTGCCGTTGCGTGGAGTGGATGTGCGCTTGGATGTTGATCCGCTCCTCCCTCGCCTTGCTGCTCACCCATCTCTCTTCCATCCTCCTCCCCCTGCTGCTGCTCCTACTGCTCCTGCTTCTACTGCTCCTGCTCCTCCTGCTCCTGCTCCTCCTGCTCCTGCTCCTCCTGCTGCTGCTCCTCCTGCTGTTGCTGCGGCTGCTGCAGCAGCTGCTGCTACTGCTCCTGCACCTGCGGTGCATGTATCTCCTGCAATTCCGACCACTGCTGGTGTTGCTTCTGCCACAGCAGCAGTCACACCATCAGGACCCTCGGCCACCGCCACAACACCTCATATTGCTGCTGCTATCACTGACCCTGCAACAATCACTGCCACTGAAAATACTCGTGCTATTGCCGCTGCCAGTGCTGCTGGTCAGGCGGCTGTTGCTGGTAAGGCGGCTGTTGCTGGTAAGGCGGATGAGGTCTCCCCTTCCTCTTCTTCTTCTCCTCCTCCTGCTGTTGATGCTCCTGCTGCGCCATCTTCCAGTGATCCTGAGGCACAGCTTTTCTCCTCAGTGCTCCTTGAAACTGCGCAGCAGCTTCCTGCTCTGGTGAACAGGGAGGATGGGACGTGGCAGGCGGGGTTGAAGGAGGGGAAGGAGGCGAATGAGGGGAAGTGGGATTGCGCATACGGTCTGCTCGATACTGCTGGCGTGGGTGATGCGAATGCTTTCGTGGATGAATGCGGGATGAAGTATAGCATAAGTGGGTATCTAGATGCGGTTCTGGATGCAGCAGCTGGTGATGAAGTGGCTGGGGATGGAGAGTCAGATGGAGGGGATGGTGCTGGAGGGAAGATTGATGGGGTGGCGTGCATGGGTGCAGCAGGTGGGGAAGGGTGCTTCGATGCTGTTGCTGCTGCTGCTGCTGCTGGGACTGACTGTGCCAGTGGCCCACAAGGCGCCGCGTCAGTGTGGACTAGCACGGGAGGGTTGGCTCTGCTCGATGGCCATCACACCCCGCAGCAGGAGACGCAGGAGCATCAGTATTACCAGCAGGAGCAGCAGCAGCAGCAGCAGCAGAAGCAGATGGAGAGTGGTGACGATGGAGATGTGTTGCTGACTGCCCGTGACATGAGTCCACACACCTGTGACCCCACACGTCGAGCCATGCAAGGTCCTGTCATTGCAGCTTCCAGCAACGCTCCTACTGCTGCGCTCGATCCCTCCAGCAACTATGGGGCGGGTGTGTTCAGTGTGTGCGCAGCTCCTTGCACTGTGCTCGAACCCTCCAATGTATTACGCTTTTGCGCCACAGGTAATACGCTCCATCCCTCCGCTGCTGCGGATTGCGCTGTCATGGATGTAGGTATGGTGGGAGCTGGGGCTGGCTTGGTGAGCCCGAAGAGAAAGGCAGAGGCGGAGGCGGAGGGGGAGGGGGAAGGGGAAGGGGATGAGGAGGGAGAAGAGGCGCAGGAGGAGGGGGAAGGGCGGGGGGATGTGCGGGATGCATGGGCGTGGTCTGGTTTGGGCATGTCTGCTGTTCCTGCTGATGATACAGTGCAGCCTGCTTGGATTGAAAGCAGGCAGTGCAGCTTTAGTGTGGGAACGACTAGTGCTGCACCTGCCAGTGCGGGCAATAGTGGTGGTGGTGGTGGCACTGGCAGCGCTGGCAGCGAGGCCGCTGCTCGTTACGGTGTTGCTGTGGCGTCATATGGTACCGCCAGTGGGAGCACTGCAACAGCAGCAGCCGCCGCAACAACAGCAGCGGCCGCAACAGAATCAGTTGCAGCAGCTGCAGCAGAGGAGGACGTGGAGATATCTCTTGAGATCGCTGAAGCTCTCAATCATGCAATGGATGAAGAAGCGGAGCAGCAGCAGCACGGCCCTGACCTGGGGTGCACTCTCTCCCAGGACCTCTCACACGCGCTGGAGCAGGAAGAGCTCACACACGCACTCACACAGGAGCTAGCCCATGCGCTTGAGCATGGGGTTGACGATGCATGGGCGGAGGGCCAAGGGTGGGAGGGTGCACAGGCGGACGGTGCTGCTGTGGATGGGTCAATTGGGGACTTGGCCGATTTTGGAGAAGGGATGGAGCTGGAAGATTTGGATGCTGCTGACGCTGTTGGTGCGGCCGCTGGTGCGGAACGTGAAGCTGCGGAAGTTGGCACATCCCCACTGGGCCGCAGGGGTGGGAAACGGCTGGAGACTAGTAGGGCAGCAGGGGGCAGGATGGTAGGAGAGAAGGGTGGACCAGCAGGAGCAGGTGGAGCAGCGGCTGCGAATCAAGCAGGTGGAGGAGCTGTTGGGAGTCCAAGGCAGGAGGGGCGGAGGAGAGGGTCAGAAAGAGCCACAGGAGGAGCGTGTGAGGTGGCAGTGGTGTCCCAGCCTCTACTGCCCCACCATGCCATGGCGTGTCACGATGGGTGCTCTCCTGTTCCGGTGGTGGTGGCTGGAGAAGGCGAAAGGCCTGGCACTTGGGGAAGGCGGAGAGTGAGAGCCGGCTCTCGTGCTGCGATTAATACTGCTGCTGGTTTTGGAACCGGTGCTGCGGCTGGTGGTGAGAGGAGCAGCAGCAGCAGCAACTGCGGCAGCGGGAGTGGCATTGCGCACACACACGACCAGCGCCTGCAGTGGCCACGGCAGCAGCAGCAGAAGACGACCCAGCAGCAGAGTCAGCATGAGAGGAGGCGGCGCAGGAGGAAATACAGCCCTGGCGACCTCCCTCCTGCCTCAACAGCCACCCCGCCCACCAATCCCAGCAGCCCACCCCTCTCATGGAACCAGAATCATAAACCACCACCTGCCCATCTCACCTCCTCCTCCCACCCACCCACCTACCAGTCTCCGCATGCATTTCCTGATTCCCCTGCTCGCGCCGCGGCTACCACAGCCCGCCATGCTCCTCTGGATAGCGGCCTTCTAGACGTGCCTGTGATGGAGTGCGATGAGCCTCGCTCCTGGCCTCACCTCTGCCACCTGCCCCCTCTGCACCATGGCTGTCCCAGCCCAGCAAACCAGCTGACCCCGCAGTTCCAGCCGCTACAGCTAGAGAAGAAGCAGCAGAAGCAGCAAGAGGGGATTCCTTATCTGGTCTCTCCACCTGCCAATGTTCCTACCAGTGCTACTGCTCCTCCTCCTGCTCCTTCTCCAGGGTCGTTTCAGATGGGAGTGAGGGTGAGCGCCGGTGTGAAGTCCCGAGCAGCAAGCAGCACAGTGAAGCACACAGCAGCAGGCGTGGTGCATCTCCTCTCACTGCCCTCCCTTTCCGCCCTCACTGCATCTTCTGGAAGGGCAGGTATGGCAGCAGCAGCAGTAGCAACAGCAGCAGCAGCAGCGGCTGTTGCCAGGGCAGGGGAGTCCGGGTCGACAGCAGCAGGACCTTCCGTCCTTACTGCTACCCCTCATGCTCCTCGTGCTGCTGTTCTGCCGCGCACCTGTGCTGTTGCTTCTGCTGCTGCTACTTCTTCCCCTGCTGGTGCTGGCAGGGTGTCTCCCCTGCATGCGCGGCGCCCTCCCATGCTGGTGATCCCACGGTCCGACTCAGACTGTTGCCAGGAGGCCGATGCAGCGCAGCAGGGGGGTCAGGGGGTGAACACATGGGGGCAGCAAGGGGGCAGCGGGGACGCAGCAGGCTCGCAGGGAGGGGGAACAGGAGGGGGAAGGGGAATGGGGATGGGAGGAGCTGTTGGGTTCCCAGGCAGGGTTGTGCGCAGGTCGCTCAATCGCCAGTACATGGATGGTTCACCGCCCGTGCTTCCCCCTCACAACCCAGGAGAGGTCCTTCCGTGTTCTTCCATCTCCCTGTCCCCTTCCTGCTCCCCCGGTTCTGCCTCTCTCCCCTCCCCATGGCCTCTCACTGCTACCCCTGGCGGCCCTTCCGACTGTGCTGCTGCTGGTGCTACCCCAGTGTCAGCTTACATCTCAGATAGAGCAGCAGGGGGGAGTGGTGGGTGGAAGGAGACGAGGACGGGGGGACTTGGGGAGGGATGGCTAGGAGAGGACGCTGTGAGAGAGGGAGGAGTGCAGGGGGAGGGGTTGGGAGACGGTAGTGCAGTGGAGGATGCAAGCATGGGCGACTTGGGATATGAGCGCTTGGGGGAACTGATGGGTGGTCGGGATGATGTTGCTGGACTGAGCATGGGCATGTGCGTGGGCATGGGCATGGGAGGGCAGTTCAGTATGGTTTCGGGGATGGCACCTGCTGACAGGATGCATGGTGTGTTTGCAACGAGGGTTGATCCTCGCATGGTGGGGGTTGGCGTGGGGGCAGTGGGGGTGGGAGATGGGGGAGGGAGTGGAGGTGAGAGTACGGAGGGGAGTGGTGGCAGCATGGAGTGTGTGGATGGTATGGGAATGGCGACAGATGTGGACATGGATATGAGCATGATGGAGATGATTGGCGTGGCAGAGGGGTGAGAGCGAGAGATTGCGACAAAGAGAGTGAGACTACATGATGATGGGGTGAACGGATGGATGAGTGAGGCCATGTCGGTGGGGCCTGGGTGTTGGGGTGGGTCGAGAGGGGTGTGGGGGAGGGGAAGGAGGGGGTGGTGGTGTTGTGTCTACACCTGTTTTTCCTGCTCTGCTGTGTTGGTGCTGGTGCAGATGCATGGTGCTTTGCATGCAGGCGCTGCTGTGCAGAGCGTGAGCGGAGCCAAGGAAGGGGGGCATTTCCATTCCAGCTTGTTGGTCTTCGATTTCCTTTAGTACTTGAAAAGTCTGGCGGAGAACCATTGCTTGGGGAAGGGTGGGTGTATGGACTGTGGAGAAATAGGGAGCATGTTTTTGGTCCAGAAGTTGGAGCTTGCAACTTCTGCAAATGTGTTGTACAGTAAGTTTAGAGGGTGCTTGGCGTTTTCCTTGACTTCCTGTGGTAACTATTTCAGTTTAGGCACCCTGGGTCTTGTACATTTCTGTATGCTGCTGTGCTGTGCATGTGTACATTAGCCACTTGTTAATTGGACATGGACCATTTCATCAGTGATGGCAGCTGTAGAGCTCTAGGAAATGTTGGTTCAACAATTAGTGAGAACCAGGGCCTCAGATTCACTTTTAGGGTCGTCACCCCATCAGGGTCCCCCTGCGTGTTAACTCTGATTTTCAGTGTCCCAAAAAAAAAAGGCTGAAATGTCAGTGTTGCGAATTTTTAAAGCCTGATGCATCAGTGTGCCTTTTGCAAAAACACTGACTCTCTATTAAAGTCCTACTTTTAGATAAATAGTCACAAGAAGAGTTCTAGTTCTAATAGTCTCTAATAGGGGTCATGCATGCATCATCGTCGGAATCAGAGACATCGTCATCACCCCCCTGAGCCTTTGGCTCTTCTTCCCACTCCTGAAGTGCCTCCTTTCCCCTGCCACTACCCTGCCCCTCCCTTGCTGGAGCTGCTGCCACATTGCCAAAGGGCCGGCGCTTCTTGTAGCCGCGCCAGATCTGCACGATTTCGTTGTAGTTGGGGTCGTACTCGAGGAGCGACATCGTCCAGATCTTCAAGGCGGGCGTTTTTTAGGCTCCCACGCTGCCACGATTTGATGATGTTCTGGCGGGAAAACCCGCGCTCACATTCCACTGTGCTCAGCGGCAGTACGGCGACAGCCACCCAGAGACGCACAAGGTTGGGGTAGCTAGTCGTCCAGTCGCTTGTCTTCAGCATCGCTGTGAGGCCGGCATGGAAGCTTCTCTCGGTCTTCGGGGCACCTGCGAGGATGGGGCAAAAAGCTCGCAGTTCTTTGATCGCCCGGCGCTTGTCGATCCCTACCAGACAAAGCAGAAAAGAGATCGTTAGTCTGATTGACCGACGGGGCAGACACCTCCACAGGCATTAATGTTCAAAATGTTGACACGATGCGTGTTTAGTACAGCACAGGTGCACGATCAATCAAGACGTACCAGGAAGGATGTAGTCTGTCTCTAGTGCCCTGAACAGCTTGACGAGTGACATGAGCCACTCGAGACACTGCTTGTGCCGCTCTCCTCTCTCTGGCGGGTACTCATCGGGCATGAACAGCCTGACTCCCACAAGGGAGTCCAAGTCTGCAAACCTCTTGGTGAGGTTGCGCACGAGCGTCTCTGCAAACGAGGTGCAGAGATCCACGCAGTTGTAGTGATTTCCCAGCGTTGGGTAGTCCTCGCTCGGGTTCTCGTGCAGTTTGAACGTGTGTTTAGTGGGCCGACCGTCAGAGTCCACTCCTTGCACCGTCACCTCGGGGTTGTTACTGTCCAGCCCGTACTTCATGATGAACGGGGACAGGCGCGCGCTCAACCCGCCCCCAAACTCATCGCCGCAGTCGACGTAGCGGGTCTCCAGGTAAGAGATGGTTCTCCTGATCTGCGCGTGCACACCTGCAATGTCAAGCTATGTTTGGGCGACAGAAATAACATGGAGGGACACAAGGAAGTCGAGCCAGGGGGTGATTTCTCAGACGATTAGTGTTGTGTTTAACCGTCAACAATAGAACTGCATTGACATACACACACAGAAGCCACACATACAATAACAAGACATCATGACAAGTGCAGCACACACTGAAACGACAAGTCGCTCACCTCTCGCTGCTGGAAAGACTTGTTCAGGATGTTCAGCTGCTCGAGCACGTCGGCCAGGAAGTACAAGAGGAAGTGAAACCTGTAGCTCGTGGCGAGCTCGTACAGCGTTTCGTCCCACTCGTACAGCATGACGATGATCGCGGGGAAGACGGTCACCAGACGCAGAACAGCGTCACCCCTGGAGAGCCAGCGGACCTGGTGAATCCCCTGAAGCTCCAAGTTTGTGGACGTGAAGAGTTCTTGAAGCTCCAGAAACCGTTGATGCCATGGGCCGGAACGGCTGAGATGCTCTGCGAGTTGACGGATGAGGCTGTCAACCATGTCGAACTCGGGAAGGGCCGCCGCTGCATGTTTTGCTGCGAGCGCCTCCCTGCAGGCACAGCACAACACAAAATAGCAACACGAGATATTAGCATAGGATGATGAAGAGAAGCAGCTTTAGCATGGTGCAACAATAAACGTACCTGTGGGCAACACAGTGGCTTGAGACGAGATGCGGTATGCGGAGGCGAAGCCGTACGACGAGGCCGTTCTTGCGCCCCATCATCACCTTCGCCCCATCGGTGCTTATACCAGCGATCCTGTGTAGGTCGATGCCGAGAGCCTGCAGGTGAGACAGAAACACTGAGAGGAGAGATGCTGCGTCGCACTTCTCCACAGTCAGCAGGGCCAGAAACTCAGTGACCGGTCGGTTCTCACGGATGAAGGTGACGAAAAGGATCATGTGTTTTCCTCGACACCTGTCTGTGCTCTCGTCACAAGTGAGTCCGATGTACGGGCTCGCAAGGATGTGCTAGAGCTGCGTTGTGTGTAACCATGTCGCGATCGACTGTGTTAGTTGGCCAAAGCCGTACCTGTGGCGCATGTGAATCACGGTTAGAGCGAGTATGAATGTTGAACACACACAACATGAAGAACATGATTAGTATGCGTTTACTCACGTGGTGTAGTAGGTTCCGTATCCTTTCGCGGGAAATCCCGGAACCTTCTGCTCCGCGAGGTAGCGAACGAGGTTCACCCATAATTCTATGGGTGCATCTTGCTTGGTCACGAAGATGAGGGAGTCACACAGCTTGATGACCCGCTCCTTCTCGGTGTTACGAGCGAGGTTGTCACCGTTGATACGCGGTTGCCGGCCAGCTTCAGCAAGAAGCTTCGCTTGGTTCTTGACCGCCTCCTTGTGCTTGGTCGTTGATGCATGCCTCTTGAACGCCTGCGTCTGTACGTCTGTGGCGCCGTTCCCGCCTTTCCCGCACTTTCCAGCATAACCTGCATGCTCGGTACAAATAGAGCATTTGAAAGCAGGGAGACCGTCAGATTGCCGCAGTAGAATTAGCCACTCAAACCTGTCCAGCCACTCAGTCTTGTACTTATACAGAGCCTCGGCGTAGAGCGCGTCGCGTCCAGACTGTTTCGAAGGACCCGGAACTGATGGCGACTCCTACGTTTTGGCTATCACGGGCGACGACCGTTGGTCGGTTGGCGAAGGCACGGTAGCTCCGTCGACTGCGGCCTTAGGAAACCATCGCAGCGTTGACTGCGTGTATCGGCCGGTTTTGTTGGCCACTCGTTCAGGAGCGGTATTTTCAGCTGGAGGCGGTGAGCTGTCTTGCTCGATGACTGGCGCTGACGGGGATGCACAGAGCGGCTCCTCATCTATGTGCTCGAACGGTATCTTGTCTGGCGGCTCGAGTTCTGGTTGCCTCTCATTGACGTCGACCTGCGCTAAGCCCGAAAACAACAGATCGATGCCGGTCACAGCTTCGGTACGGTCTACATGCGGCTGGCGATGCGCATCACCGGCGTGTTCGCCGCTTGTTTCCGTGCCGTCAAGCTGCTCCACCATGGTAAGCAGCGCGGACGGCCTCGCATCTAACCTAGTGACAACTGCAGAGGCAAGGGATTGCCAACGCAAAACACAGGCCTCGGCTGGCTGCCTCTTGGTACACTAGGGTGAACGAGGGAAACCCAGTTTCAGATGCAAAGCTTGGAGAAGAAGGGGCCCCTGGATGGCAGAAACGGTGGATGGGTTGGGCGGCGTGGAGGATGGCACGGTGCTTGCCAGCACAGCCCAAACCTAACGCATCGCACGTGATGGGTACGGGGCAGGAACCTTGGCAGCCCGCCAGCACCACATGTCTGCCACGTTCGGATTCGCCAACACTGGATGCTGCAGCGAAACGGCCCAATGGTGTGAGGCGCCCCGCTAAAAAAACACCTCTCAACGTGAACCTAAGGCAACATTTCTAAGGGTGGTCCCGCCACGGGGTGCCTACATACAGGGAATCTGAGATTCCCTGCAATTGCGGTCGAGGTGACATGGCACAGGTGAGATTCGCTTTCAGTGTCGGTTTCGTTACAACGTAGTGGCATCAGTGTACAACGGAAAAAAAACCTGAAATATCAGTGTGGCCAATAAAAAAACGCTGAAAGATCAGTCCTACAAAAATCCCAACTCTGACTTTTCAGGGTAGCTTGAAAATCGGCTGCCAAAATCAGGAATTTCAGGGTTTTTTTCCTGATAGCTGAGGCCCTGGTGAGAACCACGTGCAATCATGGGTTCTCTCAGACACACCTGACCATCTTCCCACTCTGCATCACTTCCTGTCAATCAAGCTGTTCCAAAGCACGGTATCAACATTTGAGAGAAAGGTAGTGGAAGTATCGCTATACCGTATACGGTACAGGGCTGACGTTTCAAAAAAAACCACTCTGAGGCAGGGGAGAAAAAAAAATCGCTTAGTCTGAGGGTCATTTCCCAAGTTCTGAGTACTCTGAAATGTCAGGTTTGAACAAAATCATTAGTCTGAAAAGTTTTAAGTTTGTAAAACCGCATCCGAGTTGGTTAATAGCGAGTATCTGTCGAGCGAGTTTGGCCTAGGGAAAACGTTGCGGAGTTGGCGAGAAGCAGGAGTAAGAGGGGGCGGGGGAAGGGGGAGGGGGGAGGGGGGCAGGGGGGGAATTGAATGTAATTCGAGAGAGGGGGAGGGGGGAGGACTGAAATTCGGCAATTTCAGGGGCCATACTCCCTGTAGTCTCGAGTCTCAGTATCGTGTCAAATTGTATATACTTGTTTAGGTTATCTAGGCTGCATGGGGGTTAGCACTAGGGGGTACAGAAACTTTCTCGATACCCTAGTCTTGTACCCACCCCTTCACCTAATCCCATCATCCTTGCCTTAGTTCTTAACATGGTAACTAGAGCAGGAGGTCTCTAGGACCTACGAATCGGGCCCACCTAACTGCCTACCTTGCCTACTGCTCGCGCGCGCCTCGGCTGCAGCGCGCGTCACTTTTTTTTTCCGCGCGCGCCTCGGTTTCTAGCGCGCGCATCACTTTTTTATAGCGCGCGCCACTGCTGCAGAGCCGCGCGCCGGCCCGCGTCGCCCGCGCAGCCCGCGTAGAGCTCGCGCGCCCCTTACGCCGCCCGCGCGCAGCCTGCTCAGGCCCGTCGCCGCACGCAGCCCGCAGCTACGCGCGCTGCCCGTCGCCACGTGCAACCAGGAGCCGCGCGCAACACGTAGCCACGCGCAGCAGAGAGCCACGCGCAGCCCTTAGCTGCACGCAGCCAGCAGCCACGCGCGCCCTACTCGTGTACCTGCCTGTGAGGCTCACTGCTGTCGAGCCCGTTGCCTTAGAACTGTGCGGCCTGCTACTGTCTAGAGCCCCACCTTAGGAGCTCAAGTGCAGCAAGCTACTGCCCTGCACGTTGCCTGTACTGCCTACTGCCTACTGCCTCTGTCTTAGCCTGCTGTCTACTGCCTGCTGCCTCCGGTCTACTGCCTACTGCCTCTGTCTTAGCCTGCTGTCTACTGCCTGCTGCCTCGTGTCTACTGCATGCCTGCTTTCTGCTGCCTTTGCCTGCTGCCGTTATGACGACGCCTAATGTTCTCGCGTTCGAACCTGACGGTCGCCCCATAGAGTTCGCTGTGTGGCTAGACGACCTGCAACTGTTCCTTCTGACCGATGCCAAAGAGGGCGTTTCACTGTTCGATTACGTGTCTGGCACTGCCGTTGCTCCTGCTGCCGATGCTCCTGCTCTCGAACGCTCGCAGTGGCAGACTCGTGATGCTGCTGCACGCCTAGCTATTAGGAACCATCTGCCGATCACTGAGCGCACGCATTTCAGCCAGCACAAAACTGCTAAGAAGCTGTACGATGCTGTAGTCGCGTGCTACTCCTCCCCGGCCACTGCAGCCATAGGTCGACTCATGCTACCCTACCTGTTCCCCGACCTTTCCTCGTTCACCACTGCTGAGGACCTCATTTCCCACCTGCGCGCTACTGACACTCGTTTTCGTGCCGCCCTTTCAGCCGAGTTCTGCACCGCTAACCCCCCCCCCCCCCCCCCCGATGTACTTCACTCTCTATTTCCTCGTCACCCGCCTCCCTGACACTCTTAGCTCAGTCAGGGACCACTTCCTCGCGCTAGACCCCCCCACTCTCACTGTCGACGACTTCGAGAAGCACCTCCTCGCAGCAGAGAAGAACATCCTCGCTGTAGGTGCTGCTCGTGGCACTCCTCGCTCTCCCCTCTTTGAGGGGTGCTCCCCCTCCCCTCTCACCCCCTCCTACGCTTCCGCAGCTGCTGCTCACGACTACCTTGGTGCTGAGGAGGTCGGGGCTGCTTCCGCTCCTAGTGGGAAGCGTCGCAGCGGCAGGGGCGGCAAGGGTGGCAGGGCAGGTGGGGGCGGCGGTGGAGGTGGCGGTGGTGCAGGCGGCGGGGGCGGTGGAGGTGGTGGGGGTGGTCGTGGGGGTGGAGGTGGTGGAGGTGGTGGTGGGGGCGGCGGAGGCACTGGGGGCGGTGGAGGGGGCAGCAGCGGCGGTGGGGGAGGTGGGAGCGGTGGTGGCAGTGGTGGTCAGGGCAAGCAGCAGCCGCAGCAGCAGCAGCAGCAGCGTCAGCGCCAGACCCCCACTTCCCAGCAGCTTCTTGACTGGTATGCCGGGCGTGGGGCTTCTGGGGGTCCTGGTCGCTGCCCCTATATCATCCGCACAGGTCCCCGCACTAATCGCCAGTGCACAGAGTTTCACACTGAGCAGCGCTGCTTCGCTCGACTTAGCGACGCCTGGCGCGCCAAGTTTCCTGATGCTACTGAGTTCCCCAACTGGGCAGACTTGCTTAGGCGTGATGTACCAATCTTTGATCTTGACTATGAGGCTATTCTTGCTGCTATGTATGTATTGACTGTTAGTGCTGAGGGTGACTGCTACTTGTGTGTGCCGCCGGATCCTGGTATAGCCCCTGGTATAGCCCCTGCAACACTAGGTGCTTGTGAGTCTGCTCCCCTTGGTACTGCGCCTGCACAGGCTTTGCACACCTTTACACTTGACTCTGGTGCTTCCCGCTGTTTCTTTCGCGACAGTACCACAGTCACTCCCCTTCCTGCACCTGTTCCTGTCTCACTGGCTGACCCCTCTGGGGGCCCAGTGCTTGCACGGTCTTCCACTGTGCTTCAGTGTCCGGCGGTCCCGTCTGGTGAGCTGTCTGGTCTCCACCTCCCCTCGTTCTCTACGAACTTGGTGAGCAACGCTGTCCTCCAGGATGCGGGTGTTGACACCTTCACCCCTGGCCGACAGCGTGTGGCGAAATGCACGTGCTCCCAGACCGGCCGCCACCTGGCCACGTTCACCCGTGCGCCAGGGTCCAGTCTGTACACCCTCACCACTGAGTCACGCTCCACCCCTTTGTCTCCCCAGCTGCACGCGTCTGCTCAGGTAGCTACCCAGTGTGAGTGTCGCCGGCTGTCTCACGACACCCTCCTGTGGCACCACCGCCTGGGCCACCCCTCCCTGCCTCGCCTTCGTAGCATGCACTCTCGCTTTCTGGTTTCTGGTCTTCCCAGGTCTCTGCCTGCCCTCCCTCCCT